TCTGGTATCGAAGCCTAGCTCGAAAAACCTTCCGAAACAAAAAACCGCAAGAACTTTCGGAACAACCTGATAAATCGACACGCGGGACAAGAACGCCCCCGTGCCCTCCCCACCACCGTCAGTGGTAGCGCAGTGGCTAACGCCGTTGCTTTCGAATCTTTTTTTTTGCTCCCGATTGGAAGGTTCGGTTCTTCTCGGCTCGATTTCTTTTGCTTTTTGCAAAACAATGCTTTTAGCTGCGCAACCTGACCTCTTTGCATTCGGAGCCGACGCGAGCCTGGTTTTACCTCCCGGGGATTCGGAAAGAGCCAGAAATACAACCAGATTGGGGCTGGATTGGAGATTTGGGGCCGATTGGATGTAACACGGCGAAATGCCAGACGGGTCTTTTTTTTTTGGGACACCCTGTATATAAAAAATAGTGTGTGTGTGCCCGTGCCACTTTGCAGGCAACTTCCGTCAGCGTGTTCCAGCAGTATCTCAAGCAAGAGGGTAGTTAGCGGCAGGTTTGATACGTCATTAGGTGCGTAATGGTCTGGAGATGACTGCACGCGTATCAGATTTATCAAAATCACCTATTTTCGAAATTAAATTTCAATTTTTTTTTTTGAAAAATACGAGACCCCCTTTGTTAATAATCAATTAGCATACACCGGAAGTGGGGGTAGCCTATATAAAGGAGCAGAGAGCGCATTTTTTCACTTTTTCATCGTGGGTCGCACCGATGCAAAGCGTAAACTAAGTCGAAGGGGGTCAGGTTGAAAAGTCGCGAAGCGGCTTTTCAACCCTGGTTTTAAAATTAATTTTTTTCGAACTTCTCGGCGATTAAGAAAATTTGAAAAACCAATCTGGGATGTCACGCAAAAACGTCTCCTTGTAAGGGGGGCACTTTCAAAGTCAATTTTAATATTTAATCAAAAACTTTTTCTACTTTTTTCACGAAGTGGCTGTAGTCAGCTGATAGAACGGAGCAAAATTACCTTGAGCACTTTCGTTTCGCCCCGTCTCGGGTTTCGAAAGTTGATTGTGTAGATGGTGCCGGGTGTTAGTTCTGCACCTCTGGACAGAATTTCCTAAAATCACCTTGTTTCCACCAAACCAATAGTGATTTTACGACCATGTTTTTTTTTGTTTTTTTCGCATTATCAGGGGGGAAAAATGGTACACATAGGATAACGGGGGGGGAAAAAAATAACGGGGGGGCACTCAAACTTTTTATATGATAAAAGTATTTTTAAATATGCTTTTTTCGGGCTGTAAAAAAAACTCTTAGTATATTTTTCGGTCCTCTATCGAATGGCATTTTCAAAATATCGAAAATATTCAAAACGCCGAAAATTTTTTTCCCCCCCTGTTATCCTATGTGCTGCCCATAGTTTTCAAAAATAGTTTTTAGGCCATAAAACTTTCATAATACATTTTTTCGCGTTGTAAAAAAACTCTTAGTATATTTTTTGATGTTCTATCGATTCGCGTTTTCAAAATATCGAAAATCTCAAAAATTTGGCTTTCCCCCCCCGTTATCCTATGTGCTGCCCATGGATTTTGATAAATTTTTGTTTATTCGATAAAAAATTTCATTTACATTATTTCGGGCTGAAATTAATTTTCCTAGGGCAGTTTTCGACGCTTTATCGAATGACGTTTTCAAAATACCGAAAATGTCGAAAATGTCGAAAATTTGACTTTCCCCCCCTGTTATCCTATGTGCTGCCCATAGATTTTCCTCAATTTTTGTTTATTCAATAAAAAATTTCTATTACATTATTTTGGGCTGAAATTAATTCTCTTAGTATATTTTTCGACGCTCTATCGAATGGCACTCGCAAAATCCCAAAGTAATTGCAAATTTCATAATAATGAGTGCCCCCCCGTTATTTTATTCCCCCCGTTATCCTATGTGTACCGGAAAAATTTTTTCTTAGAATGCATTTTTTCAAATACGGACAGCGGGACTACTGTTTCCAAACATCAAAATTTTTACAAATTTTTATGGTAAGATGCATAAAAAAATCGATTGTTCAACCATAGGCAAATGTCGAAAATCCCGAAAAACGAGCCGCGATCGACCGAAAAAGGCCTTTTTAATTAATTTAAAAATCAGGGTCACGGCAATGAAGTTTTTCGGGTTGAAATTAAATCCCCTAGTATAATCTTTGTCGCTCTATCCGATGGAATGCATGAATAGGTACCACGAGGCCGCATAAGGTCATATCGGTCCCCCCTCCCGTTATTTGCCCCCCGTTCAGCGACTTTTACCTCACATGCCTGCCCTTGATTGGGGCAGCTGATATTGAGTTCAATTGAGCATTGGGCTTTAGGGTTTTTTTTTGGATTCCGAGAGTTAACCGATAGACAAACCCGAAGGATCCGCAAGCAATTATCCACCCTGCCACCATTACACACGAATGCTCGCGTTGCCCATTTTGCCAGTTCAATCCGCTTTGCCAAATGCTCGTCTGCCATCCCCTAAAAGTATACAATGGAGCTTGAGACCGCCAAACGCCAAGCGCCAATTTCCCAAAATCCGGACAGTCAGAAACCTCAATTTTAGAAACAATTATGGGTAAACGACCGGAAATATGACATTCTGGCTGTCGGCATTTTGGAAGTCGCTATTTGATTTTGGCTGTTATGCAGGGTGTCCCAAAAACCACCCCTCCGGCATTTCGCCGTGTCACATCCGATTGGTCCATACTTTGCACAAGGGTGTATAGGATCCTAAATAAAGGATGCGCCGTTGGCCTATTCTAGGCATTCTGCGAAGACAAATTTCTGCTCTCAGAAAACCTGTTCCTGCGTAGTAAAAAATTCCAAAAACTCGAAGAAAGGGGTTTCCGACCATCCTGAACACGATGGCCTTGTTTTTGGAATCCGAAAACGCCGCAGAAAAAAGCTTATTTTTCAGTTGTTTTTAAAATTGCGAATTTAACGATTAATATAAAAAAATAATGTCTGTGTGTGTGTTTGTGTGTGTCACTTTGCATCCACCTCCGTCTGTCTGTCCGGAGGATATCTCAAGAAGGGACGGGTATTAGGCTACGTTTGATACGTCATTAGATGCGAAATGGTCTAGGGATGACTGCACACATCAGATTTTTAAAAATTAGCCATTTTCGCTATTAAATTTAGGTTTTTGTAAAACCTCTTTGTTAGGAATAATTAGCATAGACGGGAAGTGGGCGGTCGCCTATATAAAGAGGGGTCGCCAGAAGGGGTTGTTTTTCATTTTTTTTTGTCTTCTGAATGAAGGACAAGTATTGAAAGGGCAGAATAGTATGGGGGTCCGAGACGGGGCCAGGGTTGAAAAGACGCGAAGCGGCTTTACAACCCTGGTTTAACGATTAAAATTGTGCTGTGGTGTGTGTGTGTGTGTTGTGTGTGTGTGTGTGTGTGTGTGTGTGTGTGTGTGTGTGTGTGTGTGTGTGTGTGTGTGTGTGTGTGTGTGTGTGTGTGTGTGTGTGTGTGTGTGTGTGTGTGTGTGTGTGTGTGTGTGTGTGTGTGTGTGTGTGTGTGTGTGTGTGTGTGTGTGTGTGTGTGTGTGTGTGTGTGTGTGTGTGTGTGTGTGTGTGTGTGTGTGTGTGTGTGTGTGTGTGTGTGTGTGTGTGTGTGTGTGTGTGTGTGTGTGTGTGTGTGTGTGTGTGTGTGTGTGTGTGTGTGTGTGTGTGTGTGTGTGTGTGTGTGTGTGTGTGTGTGTGTGTGTGTGTGTGTGTGTGTGTGTGTGTGTGTGTGTGTGTGTGTGTGTGTGTGTGTGTGTGTGTGTGTGTGTGTGTGTGTGTGTGTGTGTGTGTGTGTGTGTGTGTGTGTGTGTGTGTGTGTGTGTGTGTGTGTGTGTGTGTGTGTGTGTGTGTGTGTGTGTGTGTGTGTGTGTGTGTGTGTGTGTGTGTGTGTGTGTGTGTGTGTGTGTGTGTGTGTGTGTGTGTGTGTGTGTGTGTGTGTGTGTGTGTGTGTGTGTGTGTGTGTGTGTGTGTGTGTGTGTGTGTGTGTGTGTGTGTGTGTGTGTGTGTGTGTGTGTGTGTGTGTGTGTGTGTGTGTGTGTGTGTGTGTGTGTGTGTGTGTGTGTGTGTGTGTGTGTGTGTGTGTGTGTGTGTGTGTGTGTGTGTGTGTGTGTGTGTGTGTGTGTGTGTGTGTGTGTGTGTGTGTGTGTGTGTGTGTGTGTGTGTGTGTGTGTGTGTGTGTGTGTGTGTGTGTGTGCGTGCGTGCGTGCGTGCGTGCGTGCGTGCGTGCGTGCGTGCGTGCGTGCGTGCGTGCGTGCGTGCGTGCGTGCGTGCGTGCGTGCGTGCGTGCGTGCGTGCGTGCGTGCGTGCGTGCGTGCGTGCGTGCGTGCGTGCGTGCGTGCGTGCGTGCGTGCGTGCGTGCGTGCGTGCGTGCGTGCGTGCGTGCGTGCGTGCGTGCGTGCGTGCGTGCGTGCGTGCGTGCGTGCGTCCGTGCGTGCGTGCGTGCGTGCGTGCGTGCGTGCGTGCGTGCGTGCGTGCGTGCGTGCGTGTGTCTGAAGCCGAATTCAACTCGAAGGGGAAAAGAGCTAGAGCTTAGTTCTCTTCGGATTTGGATAGAGCGCCATCAGAAACCCCCAAACTGATAAAAAAAATTATGAAAAAGTTTTAACTTAAATTATTAAAATTAACTTTGAAAGTGGCGCCTTAATAAAACGAGTCGAAGTAGTTTTTTTTAAGGGGATTTCAGCTATAGGGGGGTATCTGAAGCCGTTAGCGTTGGTATTGATGGAGGTGGGGAAGGATGTGGTGGTGTGGGACATGTAGGATAGCCCGAAGGCCAGATGGTTACAGTCGCGAAGCGACTGTAACCATCTGGTAATATCATATGCCCTAAAGAACTCCTCCTTTAAAAACGTTTTGCCCGGGTATTCTTGGGACACCCTGTAGAACGTTCAGGTCCCGCAGGCACAGATTCTGGGCCATTATTTCTTTTCGAACAGTGTCGAAGATCGGAAATCGTGTTCCTCAAATAAACCTGACAACTTGCTGTATTTGCCAAAGTCAGCCCGGCAAATACAGCACGTGAAAATACAATAAACCCACCTCGTGCCGTCCGTAGAGAGTCCATACCTAAAAATAATTGTTGCTCGGAAGTGGGAAGCGGTAAGGGTTCAATTTATCCCCCCCCAGCCGTACTTTTCAACCATGCGTCCTATTAATGCGCCGATTATCTCAAAATGTGCGCCGTGGTCGAATTACTATAGCCATGTTGTTTCCTTACATCAAAAATTGTTTGAAAAATTTTGGTAACAATCTTAGGTCTGGGCTTTCTTTAGTTAATTTTCGCTGGTCGAAAGTGAGTTTTCGTATCAGGCTTGTGCGGAAAAAAATTTGCACAAACAAGGAAATATGCAAGTTGACTTACTTCAATGAGATTATTTTCCACAGACTCCGGTCTGCATCCGAGAAATTTAATGATCCCGGAAATGGCGTGTGCAGTACAGCCCGACAGATCGCAGCGGCCGACGTGTCGAAGGGAGGCGACGAGCGGCTCGATCTACAGGGTGTCCAAATCAAAAAAAGGGCCGCTCGGCACTTGATCGTATTCTATCCGATCGAGTTGAACTTTTTGTTTCCAGCGATGGTAATGCATAAAAACTATATGCAGCCGAATTTTGCAAGCAAAATCTGCTATTAGATGCTTCCCTATTAGAATTTTTTAAAGCTATTTTTAAGCGAAACTGAAAAATCGCTTCAGCCCGCCTGTGCAAAACAAATTTGGCTTCCTTTTTAGGATAATTCGGCATGCAGCTGATAGATATAACTTATTATGATAGTGATGATCAGTTCCTATCGTGACTTTATGGCGGTTCGGAAAGATGTCCGGGTCAAAAATTTGAAATGCCCTCGAGAGAAACGCAAAAATCTTAAAAACTACTGTGGCTAAAAATCTGTAATTTTGATCCCACATACTCATGAACGCAATAGATAAATGCATAGAGGGAACATCGGATTCTGGCCACTAAATTTTCAGAAAGAAATTTCCAAAGTTCGATTGCGCGAACTTATGTTCCAACCTAATACCAGCTGGCCACCCTTAATGTCCCACCCAGTGTGATACGGATTTGGCCATCGGGCGGCCGGCGCTAGTCCCAAAAATGGCCCTAGGCGCTGGTCCTAGGCTTACAAGAGAAGTGCACGATCGGCCCACGAGAAATCGACACGAGACATAGTGGATCTGATAGAATCGGCCATGGGGATTCCGAATCTGTAATCAGAATCTGCTAAATAGAACGGAGAAAAAAGTTATGAAGCTTCAAAGTTGGCCAAATCGCCAAAAACCGTACCTTTAAGGGCCCGTAGAAACCGGGGGAACGGAATTGAGGAGAAAAGAATTAGTGCATCTTGTTCAGCAGAAAAAGCGCTTTCGAATGAGCTGTAATACGTACCATTTGCAAACAATTCACTGGAAAAGGTTTTTTTTGGATTCACGGGCAAGGGTATGGCCTGTCAAGTTCATAGAAGAGATTTCCGCGAAATCATCGTAAACTTGAAGTAAGATAGCTCAGTCGAAAGATATTTTTCTGCTGAACAAGATGCACTAATGGGTTGTGGCAAATTTCCATTCCCCTGGCCTTTACAGGCCCATAAAAATCCGATTTTGGGCGATTTTACCAATTTCGAAGCTTCACCAGCGCTGACCCCCCGCTCCGCGGGGGTTCAGCGCTGGCCCTCTACCCCAAAAATTTTTTAATTTGGAATTTGAATGCAAAATTTTGGCTGAATTCCCGGTCGGTCGGACGGTCGACGGGCGCACGGACATGAGAAGTAGATACAGGGTGTCCCAATAAAAAAGGTCACGCTCGCATTTCGCCATTTCGAATCCGATCGACCTGAAATTTGCAACAGGGCTGCGGAAGGGGATTTAAAATGTTCACAGAAACTTTCAGCCCGATCGGTAATGTATTTTTCGAGTTATTGCGAAAATACTGTTTTTCTAACACTTTCTCTTCATTATTTCGGCTATCTTTTTGGACTTTGCATCAATTATCATAATTTTCTGGCTCTAAATCCTTCATTCTTCTTAACATCGGGGTTGATCATACCTTGTTAAAATTACTTAAATAGCCCCTTTACAAGCCGAATTTCGCTAAATAAAAAATTTTCCGGGATAAAAAAGGGTCGGCGCTTCATTTTTGCCATACATTCCAAGGCTCAATTCAGGCGAAATCCAGGTTAAAAACGTAAAATAAAGTTTATTTTTGCTATAACTCGAAAACGACTGTACGGATCGGGTTGAAAGTTTCTGTGAACATTTTAAATTCCCTTCCGAAGCTCTGTTCAAAATTTCAAGGCAATCGGATTTAAAAGGACAAAATGCCAGCGTGGCCTTTTTTATTGGGACACCCTGTATATAGTAGATAACTTTTTCTCCGTTTTATTTAGCAGATTCTGAGCCCGGCCTTATCTATTGCGGGAATCATTCCGGGAACCTATTCCGGGAATAATTCCGGGAATCATTCCGGGAATCGGGAAAAACATTCCCGGAATCATTTTCATCTCTATTCCGGGAACCTATTCCGGGAACGGTTACCGCAATAGATTCCCGGAATTAGATGAAAACGGTTCCGGGAATATTTTTACCGATTCCCGGAATGCATTCCCGTAATAGTTTTCATCTATTCCGGGAATCTCAGCACATTCCCGGAATTCAAACACTTGAAAATTCCTCGAATTAAAAAATGTAGTTGTTAAAAGCGAATAATTCCAGTATTTGTATGAAGCGGTAGCCAATAGCATTCCTGCCGGTAAATAAAGGTTTCAATTTTTTAACTTGGAAAATTCTCCGTAACTTCGCTGGGAGCTACCCGATTAATTTGAAACTTTGTATATTAGCTAATGAAGCCCCTTTTAAGCTACTGTGAAAATTTCAGGAATTTTGGTGGTGTTTCACCTAGATTCCCGGAATGGTTACCCGACCTTTTGGTCGGGTAGGCCCAGCCTTAACAAAATTATTCCCGGAATTACATTCCGGGAATTTACCTAAAATTACCGGAATAGATGAAAATCATTCCGGGAATTGATTCCCGGAATGGGTTACCGGAATAGCATTCCGGGAATCTATTCCGGGATTCCCGGAATAGATGAAAACGCATTCCGGGAATCGATTCCCGGAATCATTCCCGGAATTAATTCCGGGAGATTCAGGGAGATTCCGGGAATGATAAGAGGCGTTCCCGGAATATTCCCGGAATAGATAAGGCCGGGCTCTGATCACAGATTCGGAATCCCCGTGGCCGATTCTATCAGATCCACTATGTCTCGTGTCGATTTCTCGTGGGCCGGTCATGCACTTCCCTTGTAAGTGTCGTCCACTTTCTAACCTCTCAAAAACACAAAACAGAAGGTTTGTGAGGTGGGCAACTATACCTGTAGAGGTGGCCGCCTCCTCTGACGCCGGCCGACCGGAACATTGTTTAGAACGATTGCCTGCATCGTCTAAATTTCGGATATACAAAGTTCACAGCTCACAAGTTCACGACTCCGCTCTTAAACTTTATCGGCGCCGAGGATAGGCTCCCATGTCATTAATCTTCAAAAGAAATGATTTTTAGAAAAAAAGTGATTGAGGAAAATTATTGTTAAACGATTACCTAGTTTTAGGAAAGATCACTTTTAGGAAAGATGACTTTTAGAAAAGATTTCACCGCGAATAATAGCCTATGTAAATTTGGACATTCTGAAATCTCGGCATTTTGAAATTTCGACATTATGAAATTTCGACATTTGACATTTCGACATCATGAATTTTGACGTTACGATTTTCGATAATTTGTAAATAAGCCCGAAGGACGCACCTCCCCATGCATCCAGTACCACGAGTATGGCCGCATGTCCATGTCGAAAAAAGGGCTTGGGTAGATTGACTGCAATGGAATCGATTAACTGGAGATAGCGCTGCTTCCGCATAATTTTTGCTGTAAGCAGCAGGGCTTTAATAAGAAAGCGGTTGGACTTTGGTTTACCCCCAGGGAACCCTGACAAGGACATCTTTTAGTTAGAACGTTTTCACGCTTAAGCAAGCCGGGACACCAGGTTTTCCGGCCCGTTCAACTATCACCCTCTGGGGGAAAGTTGTAATCGGGTTTTTGCGGCTTTGGTGTTTTGGCCTCCAACTCAGTCGACTCAATTTTTTTGATCTTTTGGTTTCGACCACTTTGTAGCAAAAGAGCTCAGAAAAACGGTCCACTACAGTGAACAGTCAAAACAGCCCCCGAAAGTGCTAGACCTCGGTTATCGTGGCCGAGGGCGCGACCATGGGAGACAACTTTTCAAGGTGTATACGCATTTGTATCGGAGCGTCTGGGGGAAGCTGTGAAGACTTATTGTGGATTTTTGTTTCGCAATTTGTTCTTTACGTCTTAATTAAACTATTAGTTACCAGAAGCTACCTACCTCTACCTCATTAGAATTTTAGGAATTTCCAGCCCATTTAACAGTATCAAGGAATTGCGGGAACTTTTCAACCACCCTGTAGTGGCTCAGCCGATTTTAAGTCGATTCCGGCCCCTTCCTTACCCTATGACGTTTCTTCCCTACCGAAAAAATGCTTTTCTGAGGCTGTAGGCGCGGCACATCCAAACGGAAGTGCATGCAAATATTCACACACACACACACACACACACACACACACACACACCACACCACACACACACACACACACACACACACACACACACACACACACACACACACACACACACACACACACACACACACACACACACACACACACACACACACACACACACACACACACACACAACACACACACACACACACACACACACACACACACACACACACACACACACACACACACACACACACACACACACACACACACACACACACACACACACACACACACACACACACACACACACACACACACACACACACACACACACACACACACACACACACACACACACACACACACACACACACACACACACACACACACACACACACACACACACACACACACACACACACACACACACACACACACACACACACACACACACACACACACACTATTTATGTAAAGGGTGTCCCAAAAAAATCCCCCCTACCTCGCGGTCCGGAGACGTTTCCGACTTCTACGATTTTGGTATCTATCGAGAGCTCTCGACAAGGCGAGTCCAGCACGCCTTTCGAAGTTTTGAAATTCCGGATTTTTCTTACTTTTTACTAATATTTTTGCGAAAAGGGCTGCATTTCTGATGCTTTTCGGGCGCCGCTGTTCGCTTGCCAGGCACAGGGCGGGGGTTCGACCCCGCCCTGCACAATTTCTTTTGCTTTTTGCACAAAAACTCATGATTTTTGCATAAAATCGTGCTTTGACCTCTAAAACCATTACCGAGCCAGTTTTAACGTCAGAGGTGACGACAACTTAAAAAATAACGCAAAAAAAATCCAGATTTAGTCAATTTTTCTAACCTAAATGTCGAATAAATTTTTAAATAAAAGTCGGCAGCAAATTTGGAAACCAGATTCGGAATCAGCAAAAAATTCTGCACAAGATGGGCTTGGTCCCATTCTAAAACGCCAGCCTGAGTAAAAACACTTTACAGTTAGTCGCATCGGAGCCCATTTTGATTTCTGAATCCTACCTTATATAATTTTGGAGTGTATCTCTGTGTGTGTGTGTGTGGATGTCACTTTCGAGGCCCGATTTGAGGGCCTTCCCGTGTCCAAAATGCCCTAATTCTCCGTCACCCGGGGGAATCGACCCTCCTCTTTCCGATGGCGTTTTCAGAATCCCGATAAAATACAAGTTTACAAAGTTGAAACCGGTTTTACTCATTTTTGGGGGTCCGGGAGGGCTAATTTGCATAATGTGAAAAAATACAAATTTGCTCATTCTTGCCAGTTGCACTCGCGAGTTTGGTTGTGTCTTTGGATCTGCTTCTCGATGCCTTTCCTTCCCCTGCCCCGGGCAGTCCTCTTGAGACATAACAGGGGTGTTTGGCGCGTGCTGCCAAGCATTGCATGGTGTAGTGGTTAGCGCTTCGCCGTGCTAATCCAACCATCGGAGGTTCGATCCTCGGATATCGTAGTTGTTTTGCTTTTTGGTCGGAAAGTGCGTATCGGAGTAGATTTCCGTGTAGGGACGTTAATATGAAGTTAGTCACTCAAGCCGCAGCCTATAAAAGAAGCTACCCGCTCAAGCATGCGCCGCAGGCCAAGGAATCAACCTACTGCTCAAGCTAGCGCCGCAGACTTTGGAACGAAGCTAGCCGCTCAAGCTAGCGCCGCAGGCTTTGGAACGAAGCTAGCCGCTCAAGCTAGCGCCGCAGGCTTTAAAACGAAGCTAGCCGCTCAAGCTAGCGCCGCAGGCTAAAGAAGGAGGTAACCGCTCAAAGTTGCCCCGCAGGCTTTATCTCGAAGCAAACCGCTCAAGCTGGCGCCGCTGGATGAGGACCTGGCCGATCAAGCATGCGCCGCAGGCCTAATAACGACACTAGCAATTTGAGCTTGCGCCGCATGCCAATACAAAGAAGTTTGCATGGGAGATCCGTTTTTCTTTCTTCCGGGTAACTTTATGTGGAAGGGCGCTCGATTCATAGGGCCTAGACGGAGTCCAGCGGGGGAGAGTCGCGAAGCGGCTCCTCCCCCGCTGGTCGTTTTATGAATTCAAAGATAGCATCACTTAAATCAAAACATCCCGAAAAGATCTAGTACGGCATGGAGACATTAAAATTTTGCGGCCCGGGCCTCTCCAAAAAAATTTTTCTTGCAAAAAAACCAACTGAGAAATATTGATTTTTAGGAAAAACCAGGGTTGAAAAGCCGCTTCGCGACTTTTCAACCCTGGCCCCGTCTAACCCCATAAAATTCTTCGCTTTGCATATTTCTTTCGAATTGCGATGAGAAAAAATGAAAAAACGGCACTCTCTACCTGATTATATAGGCTACCGCCACTTCCGGTGCATGCTAATTGTTTCGTAACAAAGAGGATGGCCGAAAATTTTACATAAACTGAAATTTAATATTTAAAACAATTAGTTTTGTAAAATCTGATAAGCGTGCAGTCATCCCAGAGCCATTACGCACCTAATGACGTATCATAGGTACCTTAAATTTAATCGCCTATCGAGATATCCTCCGGACATGGTGACGGAAGTTGCATGCAAAGTATCACACACACACACACACACAAACACTATTTTTTTATATATAGTAGGATGACTTTTAGGAAAGATGTCGTTAGGAAAAATGACTAAAACCCCAATCTCCGGCCCGCTAGGTAGGGGGGATTTTTTTGGACACTCTGTATAGTAGGATTTTTGGGGTCGCCCCCCGAAATTTGGGTTTGTTACGGCCCTGGCCGGGGGTGTAACCTTGCTTCGTAACGGCGGTACCAACAAAACTTACCCCTATCCAAGAGGTGCTCAATCTCAATTTAAATGAAGGGATGGACCCAATCCGTTGGAGCAGTCGATATAACGGACGGAAGAAACGAGCCCATCGCACGCGATACGCTCTAAATTTCGGAGTTTTCGTCCGCACTAGGCCTGGCCACTTTGGTATCGAGTATCCGGATTGAATCGGACTAATTTGCATGGCAACCCGGATCCGATCCAAATCCGATCCGGGGTAGAGGCAGAAGTATAGGATTTTCGTGCAAATCGAAAAAGTGGATGCTAATGGGATTTTACTCTCTGAAAGCCGGTAAAATAGCTGATTATATTAGACATAAATCAATAAAAATTCGTTTGCATGGGAAAACGCTATGGAAGTCGTAGGAATGCTTATCAGAGTCTCGAAGATCAGCATCTCGAAAATCAGAATCCGAATTTTGAGAGTCTTGAGTTTTCAGAATCTCGAATTTTCAGCATCTCGAAATATGCAGAGGCTGGATTCCGGGAGTCGGGGTGCAATTTCCGCCGCCTTTGATGCTGATTTGGACCATGGAAATTTCGAGATTTAGAAAATTTCTGGTTTTCAACATTTTGACAGATTCCCAAGCCGGAGTCCCGATTAGAGAGGTTATTATTCAACTAAGATATTCAAGCAACTAACGTTCTCGCACTGAGGTCCGAGTTTAGCCGAATAATATGCTAATGAGGAATAGACGAGGAATTGCTATGCATGAATGGAAATACCCGGAAATTCTGTTGATGGACATCTAGCTTTGCCATATTTTAGCAAAGCAAAGTCAGGTCAGACAAGGGAACCTCAAGTTGGCACGGTGGAGTTAGGAAAAACGCTCGCGGGGGGGTGAACTCACGGCCCCGAAATAATTTGCATAATTTTCCAACGAAATCCAAACAAAAATTGGAATTTTCCGAGAAAAACAATGTTGTCATTTTTCGGGGTAAATGATTTCGGGGTAGTGACCGGAGGCCGCTCGCGGCTACCCCTAGGTTTTCGACTATCGCGATTCCAAAGTTCTAGTCAGAATCAGCTAAATAGACGGGGACAGAGATACACCACTTCCGGAAAAATAACGATTTGCATCTCAGAAATTAGCATTAGAGATAGCTTTATGAGGCTCTCCCATCAGATTGAAGCCACCAGTGGAGCGGTAAGTGGCCGAGCGGTAAGCGACTGAATTGATAGGATAGTGACGAGCAGGGTTGGTCATTTCGAGCCCGGCCCGCGGGCGTCCGCGGCCGGATGGATGACCCCAGCCCGCTCCAGGCCGCTCAGCCCGGCCCGTCCAGCCCGCTCCCCAGCCCGTCCCAACCTGTCCGCTCATTTTATGCAAATTGGGTAGTCAGCCCGTCCGGCCCGTCCGTGAACAACCCTGCTGACGAGCTTTCGAACCCGCTCGCACTTTTCGGGGTTAGCGGGCGTAGCCCGCTAATTTCGGGGTTAGCGGGCTACGCCCGCTAACCCCTTTTGGTTAGAGGTACCCCCCCATACGACTCTTTTGGGGTTCTTTTCCGGATTTAAAAAAGAACCAAGCATCGGATCGCCAAACTGAATACACCATCGGAACCGGCGACACTTTTTGCATACCATAAGCTTTTAAAAATTGAAAAAAAGTGAAATTTCGAATTTTAACAGCCGATTTAAATTGCGTTTCGAGGGGGGGGGTCTGCGTGTGTTTCTCTGTACGGAAACCAATGTAGCTGTCAAAAAGTGCCTTCCCATAGTCCGTTTGGGCTGAAATTTTCCACATATATCGACTTGATGTAAATGAAGGTGAGGAAGAAGCGTTTTTTTCAAAATAGCTTTTTAAAAAATTTATATTTAATTTTTAAGTTTAAAAGCTAAATTGCGGCCAAAACAAGGGTTAGTGATGTCCGTTCGGGCTGAAATTTTGCTCAAATATGCATTAGACCATGCCGGAATAAGTAAAGAAGAAATTGCAACGAAAGAATGCTTCTTCTCTGAGATATTATAACTTTAAACCTTCGCCATACGGGGCGCCACCCTCCCCTTTGGCGGCCCCAGTCCCGGGTCAGGGCGGGCGGGTCTAGCTTCCCCAAGACAGACCTCCAGTCTCCCCGTTGGCCTAGTGGTTAGCACGCTGTACTGGGAAGACTTGGCTCCCGAGTTCGAACCCCACCCGAAGCATGGTTTTTGCCGATTGGCCCGCGTGCATCCTTATGGTTTCTAGTGCCGTCACAAAGCGCCGCAGGCAAATTTTTTGGAGTTTTGCGTACAAGGGTTGATCTGAATGAGTATTCCTTGGCTTATTTTACTATCTTAACAATAAGATTGAGGCAAAAAGGGCTAAATTCTCTCTAAGGCTAAAAAGAGTCTTTTTAAAAAAGGGCTTTTGATTTTCGCAAAAAGAGAGGAATTCTCGTGGCAACAAAAAGAGCTAAATTCCTTTCAAACTCTTAAAAATGCCACAAAATGTAGGATCAACCAAAAGTTGCTGGCACCTTATTAAAATGGACGGATCTAGTTTCTAGCGGTTTCGGCTTGCAAATAGTTTCTGTATTATGATCTATTTGCATTTTCTTGAAATTAATCTGTGGGCCTGACCTGTGTTCTGGGATGGTACCGAGTTTATTAAAGTTTTAAATAGCCAGTAACTTTTTGTTGTTCCCGCATTTTGTGGAATTTTTAAGAGTTTGAAAGGAATTTAGCTCTTTTTGTTGCCACGAGAATTCCTCTCTTTTTGCGAAAACCAAAAGCCCTTTTTTAAAAAGACTCTTTTTAGCCTTAGTTTATTTTGCTTTTGGCCCAGAACTTTCTGCCCAACTCCAAGTTCTGATTTTTATTATCGGAAATTTTTTTTAGTTGTTGCGCCAGCCTGACTACTCCAAAGAAGCCTCAAAACTTTGAAAAAATTTCGAACAACTGGGTGGCCCCATCTCCGTTTTTTTTACAAATGGGTTTCTATGATTGGTAAGAGTTTACTTTACCCCCCACAGCCGCAGGGTCTCAAAGTTTTCGGTATTTTCGCTTATTTTGTCGGGATGTTTGCAACGCCATTCGATAGAGCGTCGCAAAATATAATTTGAGCCTACAATAATGTAAAATAAAAAAGTTATAGCCCAAAACGGCTAAACTCCAGATAACCCCCCAGCCGACCCCCACCTACCGTATCTCGGCTCCCTGTTCATCTACAGGTATGTAAAGTATACCAAAATACTCGCCACGGCTACGGTTTACTTTACCCCCCCAGCCGGAAGTTTTTGGCTATAACTTTTTTATTTTACATTATTGTAGGCTCAAATGAAAACTCTTAGTATGTTTTGCGACGCTCTATCGAATGGCGTTGCGAAAATCCCGACAAAATAAGCGAAAATACCGATGTACCGATAATAAATAGATGGACGCCACTCCTACACAAAGAAGCCAAGCAAACACCAAAATTGTATCTGCAATTTTAGAAATATTTTTCCAAAGTTCAGTTTCGTGACCTCGAAAGAATCCATCGTCGAAAAACTCAAAAATCCGCGGTTCTGAAAATTTTTTTGATATGTTTGCGGGATTGTATCGAGCCTATAGACAGGCTAAAACAGCTTATTTTGAGGTTTCTACCATAGGTTTTTGTAATATTCGAAATTTACGAAATTTCTCCATATTAAATTTGAGCACGCTATAACTTGCCAACTAGACCTTCGAAAATTCCAAAATTCCGGATGTGGGTAGGGGCGATCCTTAGGTACCTACACAGTAAAAATTTGAAGTATTCGACCACCAGCAATCCAAAAAAAATGCAAACGAAGTTTTGCCGGAACGCACAGTTTTCGGGTGTCATTTGTATGGGTGCGTCGCCAAAAATCGAAAAAATCAAGTTGAGTTATTTCCCTATTCCTGACATATTTAAGCATTCTGGCATGGTAACGCACGGTGAAATATGTTTCCTTCTCGAGTTATTCGGGGACAAACTTGGACCTTTTTTTTTGGGACACCCTGGACATTTCCAAAAATTTGACGGACAGGTGCCCAAAAATGCTGCTTTATTTTTGGACTGGCGGAGTTTTTTGGACTTTTGGGTGATTTTGTGAAAAACTTCTAGAGCCTGTATCTCGGCCATTCTTGATTTTGAGGGCCCAGGACCCTCCTCCCGGAACGATTCTGGTCGAGAGCTACAAAATGACATATCGCATGTGCAGAATGGAGCTATCTACGAATTTAGCCAGCCTTCAAAAATCTCGGCGACAGAACTTTCGTTCCAACCTGATAAATTTGTCGTATATAGGTGTATTGCGTACTACGCGTCGGCCTGTTTGAGACCTTATAAGCTATATATCTGGTGATAGCGATTTTTCCGCCAAGTTTTTCAACTGATCCGGGATTAGCCCAATTTACTGAGGATTTTGACATAAAAACTCCGATTTTCGGTTAGTGACCGGATACTTCCGTAGCCAACTTTGAAGTGTCATATCTCGAGATAGAAGTGTTGCCGCCAAGTTTTTTGAACTGATCCTGTACCAGCTCGACCTGTCCCTCCTTTTTTGCAATTACTGCTTGCCAGAAACTTAAAAAAATACCTAAAAATATTTGAAAAAGCTATATTTTTAACTTTTTTGACCTTTTCCTACATTTTTGACCAAAAAGCCAAAAATTTTTATAAACTTTCATATCTAAAATCTGGGTAAAATGCGATAAAAAATGGTTTACATTACTTTTCATATCTAAAATCTGGGTAAAATGCGATAAAAATGGTTTACATTACTTTTCATATCTAAAATCTGGGTAAAATGCGATAAAAATGGTTTATATTACGCTCCAGGGCCGTACCTAATTACTGGAGGAAAATTGGTCCCCCCCCGTTAACACGGAAACACCTAATTCCGTTTGGATGGGTTGCCGCTCCGTTGCATAAAGGCATCCTGGCTAAACCTACCGCACGGGCAGCCGTCCACTAGGCAGCACGTTTCCTGACCGAAATTTATCTGGTTCGTATGACGTATACATCGAGAAACCGGGCTCTTCACCATTCGCCCCCAATCTAATAAGGAGTGCTTTTTCGAGTCATCCGGGAAACGGCTTGAAAGATAGCTCATTCGATAGAGAATTCAATTCTGAACAAGATGTACTTGTTCATTTTTGCAAAATAGCAAGCCCTGGTTTTATCACATTCGAAAACTAAGAAACTGAATTTTTGTACCCGTTTTGTCTTTGTATCTCTGTGGAAAGTTTTGTATCTTCCGGTTGCGACTTTAAAAAACCAACATTTTGTCGTGGTGGACGTGAAATATTTGATTGCTAACAGTGCTGGCACACACAGCGATCCCGCCACGGCTTTGAACCATGAACTCCAGTCGACTTGCGTGCAGCTTAATAAATCATATTGCGAGATGCCGAGAGCGTTTAGACACAGCGAGAGTACGAACGATAGAGAGAAGCGAGGGAAGGAGAGAGAGAGAGAGAGAGAGAGAGAGAGGGGAGCGAGATTGAACAAGCTACGCCCTGGCTTTTGGCAATTTAGAAAAGGTTACCGACCGCTTGGCACCCGGCATCCGGCATTTCTCCGCTTATCCGAAGTATATCCACCTGGCCCGGCAGCAAGCCGCGTGCATTAATCAATCTTCTAGAAAAAAAAATTCTGATCCCGATACCATTCCTCCCTTTAAACATATTGAAATTTGTACACCGCAGCCGACCCAGGCATACCTGAATTCTTTCGTCGTCTTGTGTAAAGAAATCAGTTCATCTGGATCGAGTCTGTCGAGGATGTGAAAGATTTGTTGTCGCGATAGCAGTTTGATATCAATGTTATTTACCATTCCTAAAATGCTGCAATTAGAGTGTCGTTTGCAAATACAAATCCACTTTGAATAAATAAATCCAAATAACGGATTGCCACTAGTATTCAAATAATCCAGAGCGCCGCCAGAGTGCATTGGTAGGTTCGTGAGACAGATGGTAATTCCTCTCTATTAAGGTCAATTGGCGGATGGGTCATTCCTGCAAATTTTGCGGGAATTTTGGCGGATCAGGCTCGATGGGCGGATATCTCCCTCTTAGGGCATCTGCCCATCGGCGCGCTTTCGAAACCTGGACCATGAATCCCGTATAAACCTCCCAAAACAGCAAGCACACAAAAACTCGTTTTTGAGTCTTCGCAGGGGGAACAAATATTCGATTTTTCGACCCAAAATGGCCAAAATTCGACTTTCCTAACCTTTTTGATTTTTTCTTGAAATATGTTTATAAATTATTAAAAACAGTATAGTATAGCACATCCTTATGAAACGGAATTGCCTTTGGGCAAGGATGGTCGGGGTGGGGCGCGCTTTAGGGGTCGGTAGGGGCGAGAGCGTGTGGGCTGGGGAGAAAGGACAGACGGCGAGGGGGCAGAGAGCGCAGATCCCAAAAATAGTAAGGCCATAAGGGTGTGATAGAAACTACTTGATCACTAGGCCAACCTGGACCGCTAAGAAAAAGGTATGATTCCCCCCGCGGGAATACTCAAGAAATAAGATGGGCAGTCCCACTCCGACTCAGGAACGGCACCTCTCGCCACTGCACCAAATGTTTGCCAGCCAGCGGAGGGATGAGAGGGGCTATTGCACCTTCGCCCCGCCCCCTCCTCCCCCCGCCGTCCCCCGGCTGCCGATTGTTTCAATTGGCGCGTACACGCGATGTAAATCGGGGGCGACCAGGCAAATGCGTTGATTCCTGCTTGCGCTATCCCTTTAAAAGGATCAGGAAAGCCCACGTAAAAAAGGTTGAAAAGTCGCGAAGCTGCTTTGCGACCCTAGTTTCTGCTAATTGTGAAGATAAATCGTAAATTTCCTAAGCCTAAATTTCCTAAAGAATGCCTACTGGTCTGCTAG